AATTTCCACAATGGTTGTATGTATTTCTCACCATCCCAGGTCAGTAGTAACAGACAAGAGTCAGAAGTACTTGTTAGCTTCAGTTAGGTTTAATTAGTAGGATGAAAGGTTCATACAAACAAGGGCCTGGATTAGATCCTGCCTAACAGCCAGAAGGGATGGAACTCTTCAGCTCTTTATGGTCTGAATTGATACATCCTGAATTAATACATCAGATTAAATCAATGGTGCATGAACTACTGATGATTCACTAGGGTAATCATGACTAGGTGGTCCATAGTGCAGGCACCAAAATAAAATAATCTTAAAATGTTGACAATTCTCAAAATCACAAATTTCAGCAAAGAGCTTGATATTTTCTTCCAAAATTTCATGTGATTTTAGAATTCTCGATCCCAACATTTGTGCGATTTGGTGACTTTGGATATTTCAGTTATTTTAAAAAAATCTTTTTTTCCAGTTTATTATTATTTAATTTGGAAGTCCCATTGATGCAATCGAAGTGTCATAAGTACCATGTTGCTGACTTCTGGCTTATGTTTGTCCACAAAACCTGTTCATGCTGATGTAGTGATCTGCATAAGGGACCACACATGGGAACAACTGCCCTAGAACTCCAACTACCACTGTAAAATCTGCCTGAATGAAAGAAACAGACAAAATGCTTGCTTTAAATCAGATTCATGTTCATTATCCCAGCTTACCCATAATAGTAACAAGCTTTTTTGCTTTGTTTGTCTATGATGTAACTGTATTTGTTACTACATTGGTGGGACAAGTCTTTCAGTCCCCAAAGCCATATCCAGCATCAGGAGATAGGCAAAGGCAATGCATGTATGTTTGTAGACACATATATCCTATAGGACAGTTGTATCATCTTCCTAAGAGGGAGAAATCATGTTCCTCAGATCTTTTCTATTAATTTATTCATTTATTTCTAACATTTCTGTGCTATTCTGTTCCCAACAGCTCACATCTTAACTAGGGTGACTTTGCTACTCCACCTCAGGGAACAAAATATATTGAGCTGGCCCCCTCTATCAGCTACTTTGCATGTTTTCTTCTTTTCTTCTGAAGCTAGCAAAGGACCCCAGTATGCAGATATGCTGCAAGTATTTGGCTGACAACATCTGACTCAAGGATAAATGATGACTCTTTTGTTAAAAAAATCACTGTTACAAAAGTATATGGGAAACTTAAAGGAGTAGCTAGGGACATATCTGTTCAGAGTTGAACACTTTTAAAGTCCCATTGATTTTTCTGGGAACATTGCTTCATTTTGTTCCATGGAGCACTGAGGTTTAAAAACTCTATCTTGCCCTAGAAATAACTATTAAAACTACCTTATTGCAATTTACTGTAAAATTATCTTTTAAAGGCTTCGTGAAGTTATATTATAAAAATTAATATATGGATCATGTTGATATTTTAAAGACATCAAACAAGCATTGCTAGATTATTTCAGTGGATCAGTTACCATAAAAGGCACATAACACAAATGTTGTTTTTCTTAGCATTTCCCCTCATGGTTGCAGGGTCCATTTGTTGTGCATTGTACTTACCTAACTCTTATAGCAATGCATGATGCAATGATGAGTTTTAAAACAAGAGAATATCTGTAGCTCAGGGTTGAACTGTGGAGTCCCTGGTGCTCTCTGAGCTTGGCTGTTTGTTTGCAGACGTTTCATCAGGCTAGGTACTGGACTGAGTTTTGCTTATTGTTGGAGAGCCTGGCACTGATTAAAGTGAAGACAGAATGACTGGCCCAACATCAGCCAGTTGGTATCAGTGTCTAAGATAGGACCAGAACCTGGGTCTTCACATTCCTAAATCCAGTATCTTAATTACTACATGACAATGGTTCTCACATATCACAAATAATACTCTTAAAAAAAAGTTGAACCATACCAGGGCAGGTTGCTTGCTAACTGATGAAAATTGTTTGACTTAAACATGATTCCAACTGAAATCCAATATGCTGGACACAATAGGGCTTAGCATCTGTGTAACATATGTGTAGAAGTGCCCTAAAGTTGTATGCAAGTATGTATGCGAGAATACACCCATATATTGAGGTAGATTTCCAGTTATGTTTCTTAATTATAATTGTTCATCAAGTATGTATTCTGAATTTTACTTATATAGAGATAACCGGAAACCCCTTTTGGATTTTTGCGGGAAACAGAAAAAAAGGAATTATGTTATATGGATTTGATGATTAGTAAAATTAATAGATTATAGAAAAAATAGATGTTAAGTTGAAATCCTCAAGTAAGAGTTTAATGTACGTTTTACTTATATCTGCTGTAAAAGAAGTTGGAAGTCATTCTTTTCCTGTATTTCTATTTCTTTTTCTTTACTTTTCTGCATTTTTGCTTTTTTCTCTCTCTTTATTGTTTCTTCTTTTCTATTCCTCTTCTTGATTTCTAGTTCTTGTTAGTTTTTATCTTTTTGTATTCAAATATTTAATAAAGTTATTATTTTTAAAAAATTAAGAAACATAAGGGTAAGGGCAGGCAGTTTTTACTCCTGGAAGCATCTCTTCCTTCTGCCTCTGAAGCAAGTAACATCTCTGGAAGGAAGAGTCATAGGGCTTTTTTTCTTAGTCTAAGTAGCTACATTAAGTTGCCAGACTCATAGTAGACTTATTTTTTACATGTGATATCAGTAAAAAAACAAAATCATGCCAATAAAAGTTGCACTGCAATGCTCATACAGTATGTGCAGCAGTATGACAAATGGCAAGCGATTATGAGAGATGTCTAAAACACCTGGAGGAATATAGATTGCCTGCCTCTGTTGTAATGACTAGCGTTTAATCTGGCTCTGAAGTGGGTTGGACAAAGTATAAAATATTGGGGGTTAGATACAACACTGAGGAAAAGTGTTATTCAGGAAATATTGACAAAGACTGAAAAATGATATTCAGGAGATACTGACAGACAAAGACTGAAAAAGAGGGAAACAAATCTACATATGATGTAGGGAGAGAAATTGGCATTATTTTTTCCTTACAGTATTATAAACATGCTCCTTGTTAGTGGGTGTTTTGTCAGATTCTAAGCAACATACTGTTCACAAAGAGCCATCCTAATCTTAGTATGGTTGAATGGTAGAAAATTTGGAACTGACTATCTGGCATGTTCAAAAATGGCTTAGTAGGCATTAAGGTGGAAACAAAAGATGACTGATCATGGTCTTTTATATCTATAATAAGTATTCTGGCACTCTAGGCCCACTCTCCTTATTTATTCCTCAGAAGCACAATTAGCTTCTTTTTATGACTACCAAATTGTTGGACTCAGCTTTGAACAATGAGCAGCCTTAATAAATATACATGAAAAAATGTAGGGAAAATTGGATTTTTCTCCCAAATCTATTTTTCCCATATTGTCATTTGATTGTCTTGAAATAATATAAAGAGAATGAAACATTGAGTCTTACGTAGTTCCTCTGTTCACATATTTATTTATTTAATTCAATTTAGACACCACCCAACTTCAAACTGACTCTGGGCAGCTCACAGTATAATATATATCCTTTTTGGAGGATACACCAGTAACCCAGTATGGTGCAGTGATTAAAGTGTTTGACTAGGACTGTCTCATTCAGCTGGAGAAGCTGAATGGGTGACTTAGGTCCATACTTTGTCTCTTAGCCCAGCCCATTTGACAAAGCTTGTAGTGGGGATAAAATTGGAGGAGGAGGTTTCATGCACACTGGTTTGATCTAGAGGAAATGTACAATATAAAGCTAACAAATCATAATATTATATTATAATGTAGCATAGTATAGTATTGTAATGTAATGTATAAATAAATTATATCCCCATTGTGGCTCTTACTGCTATTTATAACAAATTTCTCCTGATTCCAGAGCCAAAACTTCATTACCCTAATCCCCAAAGTATTCAGTTACTAATGGGAAACAATGTGTTGGATCCATTTAAGAAATAAGTTATAAATCTTGGATTAAAGACTTTGTTTACTGTGGTTGCTCTTCCCTCCTCGAGAAAACAATGTACGTGTTGTGAGGTATTGAGAACTTAAGTTCTAGTTCAGAAGTGGGGCCAAATCCCTGGAAGAATGGAAGAGATTAACCTTTTTCAGGCAAATGTTCAAAAGTTTTTACAACTCCAACTCAGCCTAATCTCCCAATCAACCACTAAACCCCCATATAGCACTGCCCTTGGGCTACTAATTCTACAGTGGGCTCATACATTGTTCACACACACTTTATTTAATCATGATTTATTGAATTAAGCGCTGTTTGTTAGGTTTACAAACTGAGTGGCCATGTTCACACAGTACGCTAAGGCTAAGCAATATGACAAGGCTAAGCAAACTACACGATGGGTTAGTGTGATCATAATTTAAATCACATAGTTGGCAGCCCCAGCCCATTTTTGATGTCACTTGGAATAAAGGCACATAGAGCAAACCTTATCTTACCATTGAGGCGGCCAGATAAGGAAATTAGTTCTTGAGTTCCGGGCTTACTTTGTAATTATTGGAAAGGAATTTGATGTTTTTCCATGTGTTGTGGATATTATACATTTGACAGAGTATCTGGGTTTAACCCCATGGAGAAACTAATTGTTCAGACTGGCTTATAGAGACAAATGCTGGACAGTTCTTCAGTTTAGGAACAGAGAAGTAAAGGAATGTATTTGTTTATTTAAAGGATGTATATTGCCCATCTCACATAGTGATCCTAGGAAGTTCACAAGAAGACTTAATGAAGCTATCCAATTAAACTTGGATGGTGTGAAACATTGAGCTTCACAGTAAATCATTTTAGCACTAGCTTAAATTATATTTTATAATCTGTGGTTCATTGACATATTTAATACTCCAAAGAAGAACTAATGGGAAAGCTTGATATGCGATAAACGTTTAGTGTAATTATTTAGAATGTAATACCAGAAGATAGAAATGTTTTAATTGACAATGTACAAAATGAATAAAATCTAACAGGGTCTGTTTTTTTCCAATTCCCAGTAGGCCCAGGAAAGACATATTTCTCCAGAAAGGACCTGCAATGGATAAAAAAAGCAGTGGTTGTTTCTTACTGATTGTTCTACTAATTGTAAGTACCAAAAAAAATATATCTGAAAACCAATAAAGTCAAACTATGCATATCATTCTGTTTCAGAGTGCAGGCACCATATTATGCAGGGGTAAACAACTTTAAACCCACTGTCCCTGCTGCTGTCTTGATACAAACTGCCCTTGGTCCAATTAAATGTACCCTCTGCACTTTTCAAGTTAATGAACTATCATAATTTGTTTAGTTATTTGATTTACATCTCACCTGCCTTCCATCATGGAAATTAAAGAGGAGTATATAAGGATCCCAGGTTATTTCTCTGCTTGGCTTCAATAAAGCTTTTGCATCTATGCCAAAAGAGTTAAACTTATCTTGTTGGTGTTTTCAGTTTCACTAGGAAAAAAAAAAACAGACAAAAACTCTGCTCAATCCTTTGTCAACCTAATGTAATTATTTTCAGCTGAAACTAGCCTGGAGATTCACTCCCTCTCACTCCACCAAATTAATGGTGTTAACATCGCATTCCTCTATATGTGTTTCTATCTACCAAGGCCAGGACAAGATAAATTGATACTAATTGAATTAATACTATGAACTACAATTGATTGCATGTAAAATAAAGTGCCAAATTTATTTACTGATTCCCCATCTGCATATCCCAACCATTCTCATACATACAAACATACATATATACTCACGTTTCCTTCTTTTGTTCACGCTGGAACAGCCCAGAAGAAGAAAAACACATGTTGGAGATGGGAGGAATGGAAAATGTAGTAGTAAAGCTGGGAAAGAGAAAGTGGGAAACAAAAGTGAATATAAATGAAAGATGATAAAGAGATACTTGAGGAAAGAATAGAGACAGACAACTAACTCTGTGGTCATTTGCCTCTCTTGCCCTTTTTATTTGTTAGCAGACACTGCCCTCTTCCCTATTTACAGATAATTATTTGGGGGAAAATCACCATCCTACAGTAAATACAGTTATGAACTGCAGTTCATGACAATTAGAGAGGATCAATTTGGCTTAGAAGAAAGCAGGCGCATCCAGGGAGTCAAAAAAGTCAAAATGACAGCCACATCCTGTGCAGTCCAAGCCCTGCCTCTTTGATGGGCTTCAGTCTCACAGGTGGCAGCTGCTAAACAAATGTGACAAATTTGAAATATAAACCTGGAAAAAATTAGTATTGTTCATATCTGCATATTTATTGTGCAATTTTTGTAATAATGCAGAAGCAGCTCTGCATTTATAAGCATTTACTGAGTGGCTGCATTGCTTTCTCCCACTTAAAAAATAGGGCATTTCTGTAATTTTCCCTGAAGGGCAGATATATTTTTAAAAGATAAATATTTGTGAGTGCATTTCTGTTTTCATATCTGCAATCTTTTGAAAAATATATCTGTATTAATTTATTGGGAAATATTTAAAAAAAGAAGTTGAATAGGGAGATGAGAATTAAAGTAGATTTTCAGTGTAACCCAAGGGGAGTTTGAACTCCTGTGAATTCTACTTCCCAGAGCAACATTTCCTAGTTCTGCACCATCTCAGTGGTTATTTGGCAAGGGGCAGAAAACTTTTTGATCTGATAGGCAAGATATTTTATCTATCTATCTATCTATCTATCTATCTATCTATCTATCTATCTATCTATCTATCTATCTATCTATCTATCTATCTGTCATACTTATATAGACACCCATCTCGCACAAAGTGACTCTGGGCAGCTGCCCATCTCCTATGCATGACTCTGGGTAGCTTACAACAATTAAAAACTACAAAAAGAACAAAGTACAATCTTAAAACTTAATTTAAAAAGCATATACAAACCATATACAAACTAACAGAATCCATTTATTCATTAATGCTGCAAAAGATTACACCTGAATGACAAAGGAGGGCTAAAAACGGACCATTAAACTTTGCATTGGTATTTGACATTCTATTTGACATTAGAGGTGTTTTTTTTTTTCACTTTACTACATTAAAGGATGGGAAGGGAAACATACCTTATATATGGCATTTGCTTTAAAGGTCATGGAAATGTAATATTCTGTATTTTGCTGGAATCAAGTGGAAGCACCTTTTTAAATGCTTGCTCATCATATAAAGTATTTTGGAGAACAGTTCTATACTCTGTTTTCATCATTCAGATTCTTTGTCATTGGAAAACTGTGGTGTTCTTTTATCCACTGGTTGTTTAATGGTTGTACATGGTTTGATGAGGTCCACTAGCCATTATTAGTATTAAGACATTTGCTTTGTCTAGACTCTTATAATCGCTTAGGGACCTTGCCAGTATTAAAAAAAAAAAAACCTGCCAATTTATTCCATAATAAAGCACTTTTTATCACAGTCACTTAACGCGTGATGGCTTGGTGGTCGTATGTATGACGTCATTTACTTGTACTTTTAGGAGTGACATCTTATGTACGGCTGCTAAACTGCCACATGACACTTCAGTTAATTAGTTCTCTTCATAAAAATTATTACTGACACTTTTTAATCACACAAGAAGTGTTTTGATTGTGAAATTGTGAATAATTTGTTTCTGTTTAATAAAGATATTTATCTATGTCCTCAAGGTATTCCCTACTTTGTTATACACAGTTACATCATTGATTTTTTCTGTTTAAAATATTGCCTTGATTGTTCTTACGGTTACATTTATATTGTATATAAATATAATATGAAGCAGCTGGCATTGAAAAACTGGTAAATAGTTCTTCATTTTCAGTTTGGTGTTGGGCTCAAATATTAGTATTAGTTCCTCAAATAGTATTCTTGCCCCCAGTCCTGCCCAAATTCCACCACAACATGTCAAACTGCTTTTAAAGTATTTTTTAAAGAGACTTTCCTACACAATGTTGCTAATTCTGATAGAGAGAGGGAGAGAGACAGACAGACACACACACACACCTACATACACACACACACAGGTAGTCCTTGCTTAACTACCACAATTGGGACCAGCAACTCTGTTGCTAAGCGACACAATCATTAAGCAAGATATCACATGACTGTGAGCTGCGATTTTACTGCCAGCTTCTCCATTGACTCTGCTTGTCGGAAGCCAGCTGTGAAGTACAGAAATGGTGATCATGACAACAGGATGCTGCAACTGTCATAAACACCCACTAGTTGCGAAGCACCCAAATCTCAATCATGTGACCATGGGGATGCTACAGTGGTCATAGGTACAAGGACCAGTCATAATGTTACTTTTTCAGCATCATTGTAACTTGGTATGGTCACTAAACAGGGCAGTTGTTAAGTGAGGACTACCTGTATATATGGAGAGAGAGAGACAGACACAGATACGCACACACACACACACACACACACATGTACTCAGCAAACCATGTCTAAAGATGAGATACATAATAGAAAAAGGTCAAAATTTATTCTTAAAAATCTATTTTAATTATAATATTCAAGTTCATGCCATGCTGTGGCATTTATTCATTTTTGTAGCTAACTATCTTGTCTATAATATAATAGCTGTTTCTAAAATGCCATATTTAAGTCCCAGACTAAGCTTTCATTCAGTATCATGGTGACATATCTAAGAGACAACGTATTCATTCTGGTTGTAAACTGGTTTGTTGCTACAAAAACAACAGGTGTGGTAACCCCTTAAAGACAAAGGAGAGGTCCAAACAGCCACTGCCTCACTGCTCTTACCTTCTGGTACACTTGCACCCTCATGGAATATCCTCATGGCTACTTGCAGGGGCTGATGAGTAAGGAAGCACCATCTGGCTGGCCAGTGGAAAGATCTGTGTTCCAGCCAATGCCCAGCCTTTATCCTTCATCCTTCATCCATCATTTCCTTTTGCAGCAAGGGAAAGAAAAAGATGGCTGGGGCAACAGCAAAGTTGCCTCTCCAAGCTTTCCTGAGCATTGGTGATAGGTGAAGAAGCCAAGGCACTTCAGCACCTTGATTTCAGGTGAGGGAGGGGAGAATCCCAAGAACTGGGGAGTGGGAAGAGCTGGTTGTTCCCACCAGTTCGAAGCCACCTGCTCTGCAGTTCTACAAGAAACATTGCAAAACTGCCCTCGTGCCATTTTCTATGGATCTGTGACCAAAAATAATCAGCTCAGCTTCTCAAGCCCCATATTGTATAGAAGATTTATTGCACTATTATTTCTCGTGGTCTAGATCAGGCCTGCACAACATGCAGCCCACCATTAATTTTTTAAAAAGTCAGTAAATCCAACGCTCGAAAAGGCACCTCCAAGCTTCACCACCACCCCCAGCTCAGGTACTCCTGCCACTTCGCTAGCCGCCAAACAGCTGATCAGTGCGCCAGGACTTCCTTCACGGCCCCTGAAGATTTTTCATGTATCGCTGTGCCTCTTTCCCCTCTATAAGTTGTGCAGACCCTGCTTCATCAGACACATGATCAGTAGCTGATAATTGGAATAAGAAGCAGGACCAGCCTAGGATATATATTGTTTTGTTAAGGCCAACAAGACAGGAAGTTCAGTCCTATTTTGACATTGGCTGGGAGATGCTATCCTCTTCTGTTGTACTGTAATGCGCTACCAAGCTCCTGTCAACAAAATTTCCACAAAGATTGGAGAAATGGAGGACCGGATACAGAAAATATGTTATCTCCCTCCTCCAAAATTGGAAAAGGTTTTGTTATTTCATTCTGAAGTCCAAGCAATTCCAGGGAATTATTACTGTATGTATCCTAACCTCAACGTCTACATTATGAACAAGGATAAAACAAATATTGTCCATTGGTGTATTAACATTATATCCCAAAGTAGCTTACAAGTGAAATTATTCTTGTATGAACATAACTGTGCTCCTTCCCATAGGGCAGTTTGTAATTTTGATGGGAGAAGAAGGTAGAAGCTGTAACAAGCCTGCTGTTTACTTCTATCCTCCTCTCTCTCCTGGAATACTTGCTTTTCTCAAGGCCAGGGTAAAAAACGCCAGTAGTGGGAGTGAGTTTAGTTGAGGATGTCTTTGTAGCTTTTTCTGATCATTTCTTCTATAGAACTAGCTGTTTTTATGTTTTTTCTAGTT